AGGCGAGATAGCGGAAAATGTGCATGGTGTCCCTCCGGGATCACTTTCCGAGTGCACAAATTCTACAAAATACTTGGTCAGCATACATAATTGTTTCCTTCTTCGACGGTAAGAGAAGATCGGTCGGTCAGGTGGCTCGACACATAGAAACCAGGGATTATGAGCTGGATTCCGCTAGACTGTCAACGTCGATCCAATCGTTCAAGCACATGCTGAGATGGTCTGATGGTCAAATTACTTGGTCAACGGTGGAGGCAGAAGGCGGAAAATTGAGAATGTTCGAGGAGCGTCAATTTGCGTTTGTGGTAGCGCACCCAAACGAGTACAAGTCGAGTACAACTGATAACGAACCAACAGAATAATATGAAACGCATAAATGCAAGCAGGAGTTCAAACAGCATAGAGCAATGACCGATCAGATAGTCTCCTGAGCATCAAGGAGTAAGTGGTATGGTACAATGAGCCCTGAATCTCAATATTAAAAGAGTTATTCGTTTATTACAGTAACTCAATGCAAAAACTGCAAGAAAGGCCAGAGAAGTCGTGCGTCAAGGAACAAAAATTTGACTGCTACGAGATCCAATCCTCTGCGAATTTGATATAAAAGCATTCACACAATTAGTGCAGTGAACAACGAGAAGAAACCACATATCATTTTGGAAGAATAACGTGTCTAATTTCACACTCTGTTTCATCCATTCGTTCTTCTCTCTCTTCCGTCTCCCTTTTCTCTTTCATATCTATTTTTTCTTCCTGTCACTTTCCTCTTTCTCTTCATTTTATCTGTTTCTCCTTTCCCTCTTCCTTCTCCTTTCCCTCTTCAATTTTTCTCCTTCACCTTTCTCCTTGCGTTCCTCTTCCTGTTCTTCCGCCTTTGTTTCCTACATCTGTTTTTGTTCTCTTCATTAATACCTTTCATAAATAGTAATTTCTTACTCTTTTCTGCCTATTCTTCACTTACTACAATTGTAACTGCCGGTAAAAAATACGGTTCTTTCAATACACTGGTGCTTCTAATAGCTAGCTAAATATTTCTTCTAAAAAGTACACTCGCAGATTCACCCGAGAGATACATCCGGATTCAATCTCGCCATGAATTCGGATGGATCGACACATCGGTACAAACGCTGCGTCCCTTCACAAAAGGCCATCGAAGCTCAGTCGTTTGAAAAATTCATTCTGTTAACAGGAACTGTACTGCCGCTTAGATTTTAAATTTCTATATAGCGTGGAACAGTCAAACGCTTCTGTATTTACTATGCAGGGTAGAGCTGCATAATTAAGAAAGCTTCGGCTGTTTCTTTTAGTTCGTTCGTTTCTTTTTTGACGTCCTGTCTTTTCTATTCATCTTCATTTTTCATATATGCGTCACTATGGATTTACCTTCATACAGATTCGGTTGTAAGCCACGTAGTCTTGGCAAATTAATTTTACCCCGTCATCTTTCGAAAGATTCATCTTCACGATCGATAACCCTCATTTTCTTTTAGGCGACAGAGACTTCGTAAGCCGGTGTTATTCCGGATGCTAGATAAAACCACCTACACGTTGGAAAAGAATGCGGCTTGGGAAAAGAGCGCTTTGTTTTGATCATGCGCGTACGAACAGTCTGGTTCGAATCTGAGTTATAAAAGTTTATGATCAGGTCGCAGTCTGCAAAATTTGAGGCAATAAATCAAGCCACTCGCACCGTTTGAAAAGAATATAAATTTAGCATATGTTACATCCTCTGTGAGGTGAAACACCGCTCCGGTGTGGAATGAAAGACCGCCCTGAAACAGTTAATAAACTTAGTCAGGTAAGTTTCTGGCAAACCAAGCCCAACAGACCCCTCAAATATATCCAACTGAACCCTAGTGAAGAGCAGGCAGGCATCACATCCAAGACAGGTGGCAGGAATGTGGATAGTTCTTTATAAAAACAAAGCAGTTGATAAATTAAACTAATTTAATAAGCTAGTCAACTATGAATGCATTTGCCAGTGAAGTTAAAAGAAAGTGTGCATTAAGTTAATACGAAAAAAGAACAATTCTTATCGCATCTGCAGAGCAGTTATGAGAAAACACAGTTCACTAGTTATTAGTTTGGATTAATCATCTAAATATTTAACCATGGGCTTTCCAGACCGCAACCGACAACGTTAGATAACAAGTGACATTAACTTACAATGTTCTAAGTATTCTTTCCATAGTCGCATCATTTCAAGTTTACGATGAGAAACTCACCAGCGGAGGTATTGCCCTCAGAACCTTTATGAATTAGTTTTTCATTTAATTTTTGCACTTTCCTACTTAATACGGAATATTTTGCGATTGAACTTGGTCCAGTTAAATCCACTCTTTCAGACGATAGTATTGTTAAAATGAGTGCTAAATGAGCAATTTTGTTAGCAGTGCCTCATGCGTCACCAGTCGTTCGCAGTTATAACTTTGGATTGGTTATTTAAAAGGATTCTAGATGAAATTACATCATTTCACGTGGCAAGTCAAACGCACTGCGTCTCCTAAACGTATGCAATATTTCAAAGCAAGTTTCGCAAGTGAAAGCCGCGGCTCGACTTCTCACTTTCTCAAACTGATGGCTGGACATCGGTAATTCAACTGAACAGCGCGATCCTAGGTCCCTGGGGTCGGCTACTCTCATTTTCAGGAATCGCCAAACACGTCGACCCAAATTCCCTTCATATATAAGTGTTGGATGATTCATGGTTCAAGGCACCCAACACCGCAGATGGTACAACAATTTATTGACAACGTGCGTCTTTGCATAAACCGTAGCATCATCGGGGCTAGACTATGTGCAAATGATTTGCACATGGATCATTCGGACTTAGCCTAGCCCTGATGATGCTGTGGTCTATGCAACGAACACGTTGGCAATAAACTGTTGTATCATCTGTTGTGTTTGGTGCCCTTTACCGTGAATCGTCAAAGCACCTTTCTGTATAACTATGGGCCCAGAATCAGAAGCCTGAAACATTATCAAGAATCCGTTTGTCCAATTGTTAAAGAAAGTATCCAACTCACTGTCATTTGCAAGTGTTAGTACGTGTGAAGTCAAAGACTTCTGAAACTCGTCAAATTTTTTACCCTGAAAAACAACCTTAAGACAAGGCCGAAACGTCGGTAGTGGTCATTTATCCGATTGACCGAATGGTTTGAGTTTTTTACAAACAAAGCGCGTCTTGTGCCGTTTACATTTTGTTATAAATATCTTGGTCGCAAACTTCACAGTAATACGCCAAGCGGCTGCGCTATCCAAAATGATCATATCGTCGCATTCGCTCTGAGTAATCCAGTATCATACTCATGATCGGGTATTGAACAGAGACACTCGTACCATCCTACATATTGTTTCAAAGTCATGTTAATCCTGTTAAAGAACGAAGAGGTGTGTGAATTCGAGACCCTTGAAACAGATTATTTTATAAACTCTGATCAAAGTAAACTAGTCAGCATTTATATCAGAATATAATACCAATATTTTATTATTTTGACATTAATTTTGTTATGAAACATGGAGCACATACTTCGGACGGACATTTTAATTACTTCTCCCAATATTTCTCAATGCACTGCAGGTTGTCCATCATGTTGATATACTTTATGTCCCAAGACCCGGTTTGCTATTGAGTTTAACTGCATAAACTTCCATTTTCGAAAAATCCCTCATTATCGCTTGAAAAGAATGGGAGGTTGCTTGAAGAGTAACCTGAGCGTCATGGAATAAATTTATGAAAAGAACGAGGAACTTTAGCTTTAGTAAAAATGCAATTTAACATCAAACCATAAAACATATAGAGTTTACGGCTTCCAGCTTTGTGCGCATTATTTTATGCACCAGCTCGCTCATGTGCATTTTTGCAATGCTGAGGAAGCTCCTAGACAAATTCACTTTTTCATTGTTTCATGACTTCT